TGTACTAACAGATTAGGCTTATAGCTCTAATCTCTTAAATGACCTGGACCAGTGGGTTGTTCTTCAGTGGGACAGGGTCCTAACGGGGGGTGGGGTGGGAAGAAGAGGGAGGATGAAAACCAAGAGATGAGAATGTAAGAAGATAGGAAAGTTTGGGTCTGGGAGGTCTTGCATAAGCTACGTCTTATGCCAAGCACGTTTATTAAGAAGTACAGCATCTCGTATACAGTTTTAAGGCGAGAAATGAGATGAAGTCAGCATAAAGCGAATATTGCGCAAGGGAAACACAGACTATGTCCAGGGTGTCTGAGACTGAGCGCATGGCGTTGAGACTGATAACTCAAGTCTCTTCAGAGGGGAAAAAAAGCTAAACCGACAGGCTCCTTAGCATCTTTGAAGCCCTGACCCCAGCCCCAGACCAGACCCGGCCAAGTCTGCCCCTGGACAAGGCCATGGAAGTAGGTTCCTTTCGTCTTTCCATCAGGGCCTCTGAGAACGCTTTGGTTTGGTGTGGCTCTCAACCACCGAAGGTGTTTGACAGCAACGGAAGCCTCGAGAAGAGGCTTATGGCTCTGTGCGAGATAGATGGAGACTTACTGCCAAGGCTGTAGTCCCTCGCATCCTTGGAATGTCATGGCTGGTGCGGTCCTCAGGTTTCCACAGTCGCCAGTGTCAGCAGCAGACAGCAGCCACCCACCAGTGCTGTTCTCAAACAAGACTTGGTTCCACAGCCACCGGTGCTGGAGAGTCTCCGATAGCTAGAGTTGTGGCTTTCTGCCCCGAACGTGGGGGCTGGAGGGTACCCAGGAGGAAGATGGAGGACAGGGGATACAGGAATGGACGTCAAGACAGGATTCTGATCAAGGCGACACCTTTATTCATCACAAAGGGATTTATATAAAGGAAGTGAGGAGGGGAAGGTGTATTTGCAGCTGCAGGGCAAGAGGTCAGTGGGAGAGGTGGTCTGCTGTGTTGCCTGGCTACCTAATCTACAGGGCAACAGGTGAGGGGTAGGAACTCCTATGTTGCTTATTAACCTGACAGCAGAATCCAATCCTATCTATTACAATTTACTACTGCTCAGGCCTATCTCCCGAGGACCTTGTAGTTTTCCAATTAAGCTACTCTTTAACTGACAGGTAAACCCCAGGCCTGTTTCTTGGAATTTGCTTTATGTCAGAAGAAGTGGCAGGGTGGTCTCAGTGTCACGTCTTCTCTATGAGTACGTGATACAGCCTAGCTGACTGATGGCTGGAGGCCCCTGACAGATTTCAGGTCTTGCACTGCCGGGACCCTCAGCCCCCCCCCCAGCCGCCTCCCCGACAACGGCTCACGGTACAGTTCTCAAGCCTTCAGCCACTCCTGAGCAACCACCAGGCTGCATTTACTCTTCTCTTCCTCCTTACAGCCTGCTTCAGCCAGGGTGCTCCTCTTCCTCTTCCCGTTACTCCTAGTCTGCCGGCCTCTCTTAACTCTTCCTGTGGCCTCTGCTCCTATTTTCATCATGGCGGCTCTCTGGACCACTCTCAGCCGCCCTCAAGTCACCATTCACGGCTGCTGCTGCCCTTCTTACCGTCACAGCTGTGGCAACATCTGCCTTTTCATGCCAAGTGTAGCCTGTTCTACTAAGATAAAAGTCCAAAGTAGTTATGAGGAGGCCTCAGCAATCTCTGGGGCCTTGGGTAATAGACCAGTGTTCGCCATGGTGTACGAATGGACTCTGGGGGTCCACTCCACATGGAGGGATGCTCTCTCAGCCTGGACACATGGGGGAAGGCCTAGGCCCTGCCCTGGATGAAATGACAGACTCTGGAGATCCCCCCCCCCCAAGGAAAGCCTCACCCTCCCTGGGGAATGATGTGGAGATTGGGTGGGGGGCTGGTGGAGGGACAAGGGAGGAGGGATGGGAGAGGGAGCTGGGATTGTCTAATTGAAATAAAAAACATATATTGAGGGGGAAAAAAAGTAGTTATGAAAAGACCGTTTGGGAGAAACCTCCCATTTGGCCCAGTGTTGCAACACTAGGAGGCAGACAATACAAAGGGGTCCTCCAATTGCCTTGAAAATTGACTGAATTGAGATGGGGTGTGACAAGAGGGTTTGCACCAATCACAGAAGACTTTTATGTCTGGTTTTAGTTAGAGTCTTCCCTGTCTCCCCCTCCCTCCCTCTCTCCCTCCCTCCCTCCCTCCCTCCCTCCCTCCCTCCCTCCCTCCCTCCTCCTGTTCTTTTGAGATAAGATCTCAATTGTTTCCTTTTGAGATAACAGCTCTTATCATCCAGGCTGCTCTTGACCTTACTCTGTAGCTGAGGATGACCTTGACCTCCTGATTCCCCCGCCTCCCACATCCCAAGTTCTAGCAGAACCAATTGTCCGGAATGTTTACAGCAAAGGTATTTCTCCAGCTGTGGTGATAGCAGGTCCTCTGTGCAACTGCTGAAGTGTCCTCAGAGTGCTTAGGATGTACTAAAGAGTTGGGCTGCTGAGAATGATGACTACCTTAAACGCCGTTCCAGAGCCTTCATCCAGTGGCTGATGGAAGCAGAAGCAGACACACCCACAGCTAAACACTGAGCTGAATTCCTGGAATCCAGGTGCAGAAAAGAGAGATGGAGGAGTGATGAGCAAAGGGGTCAAGACCATGCTGGGGAAACCCACAGAGACAGCTAACCTGAGCAAGGGGGAGCTCATGGACCCCAGACTGACAGCTCAGAAACCAGCATAGGACAGAACCAGACCTCCTGAACGTGGGTGTCAGTGAGGAGACCTGGGCAACCTATGGGGCCTCTGGTAGTGGAACAGTATTTATCCTTAAGTGTATGAATGAACTTTGGGAGCCCATTCCCCATAGAGAGATACTCTTTCAACCTAGACACACAGGGAGGGCCTAGGCCCTACCTCAAATGATATGGCAGACTTTGAAGATCCCCCATGGGAGGCCTCACCCTTTCTATTGAGCAGAAGAGGGGTGGGATGGGGGTTGGTGGGGGACATGGGAGGATGGGAAGGAGAGGGACATGGGATTGATTTATAAAATAAGATTGTTTCTAATTAAAAAGAAAAGAAAAATCTGGGCCGCCATGATGATAGTGTGGCAGTTACCAGTAAAGTGACTGTTGGATTGACAGGTTTCCACTCAAGACTGCCAGGCATAAGGGAGGGGCCTGCTAAATGGCCACTCTTGGCAGTTCTAGTCATTTGCAGAAAACATCAAAAAGGTGTTAAAGATTTAACAAAAGCTCAACAAGACTAGCAATGTTAACAGCATTAGCACCTCATAGTAATTATCAGTCTTGAGTAGTGCCCCAGTGTTCCAGAGAAAAGAGTCCTCTGGTTTACTTCATCATAAGGACACAGAGATCTCCATTTTCTTTTTATCATCCTTTCATCCTATCTTTTGGGAGAGAGAGAGAGAGAGAGACAGAGAGACAGAGAGAGACACAGAGAGAGAGACACAGAGAGAGAGACACAGAGAGAGAGAGAGAATGAGACAATGTTTCACAGTGTAGCCCAGGACGATTGGAACTCATTGTGTAGACCAAGTCACCTAGAATTGATTTATGTAGACCAGACTGCCTGGAATTTGCTGTGTAGACCAGGACACCAGGAACTCAGTGTGACTCTCCAGTCTTAGCCATCCAAGGGAGCTGATATTCCAAGTGTGAGCGCCCCTCCAAGCTTCCTGATGGGCCATGGAAGGTGATCTTAGCAGAGGCTGGGATTTCCAGGACACTGCAGAGCATATGCCTGCTGGCAGAGGGAATGTACGCTTGAAGACAGGAGAGGCACCTTAGCCTGTCATTCTCCAGCTTCTCTTCCCTGTTGTTCACTTTTTTTTTATTTTAATTTTAAATAGCTGGTTTTACATGTCAATCCCAGTTCCTTCTCCCTCCCCTCCTCCCGCACCCCCCACCATCCCCCCATCCTCCCACCCTATTGCCAATTCCTCCCCTATAGGGGATATCTAGAGTCTGTCATTTCACTCTGGGTAGGGTGAGGCACTCCCCTAAGAGTCCAGGCAGAGAGAGTGACCCTCTTTGTGCTATGGGCACACGATGTCTGTTAGTATTCGAGGGATAACACTGATCCACTGCTCAGGAACCCATAGGTAGCCCAGGCCTCCTCACTGACTCTCACATTCAGGGGTTCTGGATCGGTCCCATGCTGGCCTCACAGCTGTCAGTCTGGGGTCCAAGAGCTCTCCCCTGTTCAGATCAGCTGTCTCTTTGCCAATTTTCTCATGGTACCCAAGAGAAGAGGAATGAGGCAAGATCCTCTGAACAGATGGGGGACACGGAGGGGGTGGGGGGGAGGGGGACTTGGGAAATAGAGAGGGGGAGAAGTGGAAGAGAGAGTAGGTCATGGGGGAACAGGAAGGTTGACTGGGGGGGTAGGCTAGGGGGAAGAGGGAATCATAGGTTAGAAGACAGATCAGGCACCAGTGTGACTTCTAGTGATCTAAATGGATGACACCAATTGGCAAGCTAAGCAATAGTGGAGAGACCACCTCGAATGCCCATTCCTGATAGTGAACTTGATGTCTATAACCATCCAGGAGCCTTCATCCAGTGACTGATGGAAGCAGAGGCAAACACCCACAGTTAAACTCTGTTTACTTTTATATTGCTGGGAGCACGTGTCGTCATAGTAACCAAGGTGCAGTGAGCAGTGTCTGCATCCCAGATCATATGTCGTGGACCTTTAAGTTGCCTAGATCTGGGCTTCTCTTTTTCTTTTTTTTCTGAGAGACAGGGTTTCTCTGTATTGTTTTGGGAGACTGTCCTGGAACTTGCTCTGTAGACCAGGCTGGCCTCGAACTCACAGAGATCCACCTGCCTCTGCCTCCCGAGTGCTGGGATTAAAGGTGTGCTCCACCAACGCCCGGCAATCTGGGCTTCTTAAACTCTTTCCTACTTGCAATCTGTTTTCACCAAAGGAATCTTCACATAACTCTACGAATACAGGTGCATAAAATAGGTATGCAAATCAAGCATTTACGGACGATGAATCATAAATTTATTTCAAAACAATTCTTCTGTACATAATTTTAAAGGCAGAAAATTTCTATGCTAACAAGATAGGTAATCTTGCTTGTTTTTACATAAAAACTTAAATCTTGGATGACTATTTGAAACCACAGGTTGGGGAGCATCCTCAATGCTTTTCAGAACCTATCCATACTTTGACTTTTCAGGGATCAAAGCTGACAATGACACTTCACAGAAACATATGATACAAGATGCCAGAAATAAATTTAGGGCCATTTCAGGCATTGGTTGAAATTTTGTCCTAATCTCAAGTCAAAATTCATTTAACTTCTAAAAGGAAGCTAGGTCAGAAACAAGAACAATTTTTTAAAAATCAAACATTTTGATACCATGAGCTCTAAATACTGTCTAATTTGGTTCTTACATGCCAAGGAGCAACAGCAGTAAAACAAAGCCTTTGTATTTTGTAGTTTCTGTAAGCATGGAACACTTATATGCAATTAAAGCGCTGCAGTTCATCACCCGCAGGAGTGGCAAGGCATCGTGTGACAGCACTTTGTACAACGCCGACTAGCAACGATGGAAACATCTAAGATTCATTAGATGCTGATTTTGAACTTTTTGTTTGTTGCGCGCTCAGGGACCATTTCCTGTTACGTCATGACTGTCACCTTCTGTTACACAATTCCATGTGGGTCTGTGAGTCATAGTTTAAGGAGTGGGACCTAGATTACAGGTTTTGCAATTGAAGAATTTGCTTACCGCCTTTGAAGTCTGCTCCAGTCCAAGTTGGTGGAAGGGATGGCTCAGGCTAGCGGAGGCCTGAGGATTAGCATTCCATTCAAAGTTGTGAAACATACAGCTCCCAGAAAAACTAAAAGCAACACAAACTTCCCTGCATTACCTTGCGTCCCATGAGGACCACATCTGTGAGAACATTGAGACCACTGGCATTTCATTATTGGTTTTGAGGGTCATTTTGGGCTTCTGTATTCTAAAACGTTGTGCCCAGACTCTGAACACCCCCTGCCCCCAAAACCACCTAGAGACCGGATCCGATGCAAAACCAAAGAGTCTTTTTAATATAAGAGTTAACTCGAATTAACTCAGGTCCCTGGGGCAGGGTATATATTGGGGTAGGGCAAGGAGAGTGTCTGGGGGGTCCGCTAGTTACATAGCAACAGTCTCAGGATTGGTGAACCTCCGGCATTGGGCAACCTGTCCTGAGTTGATTGGTCAGCTGTAGCTGCAGAAAGGTTGCTGTACCTAGAGGCCCTCCCAGGGCAGTTACTAAGCCCTGCATTTCAGTGTCATCAGTAAGACGCATCCAGAGCCTGCTAGCTAACTTCTTGTTGGTTCATTAACAAGTGAAGGGTTTCTGGTGGTTGCTTCCTAGTGATTAGGGCAAGGTCAGTCAAGGTCCAGGGCTCAGCTCATGATGCTGAGTCAGGGGCCTACATCTTGCTGGGTCTTTTTTGCAGCTGTCATGGCTGCCAAAGCAGGGGGCTGGGTGAGGGTCTGGGCCCTTCATTAACACACACAGAGAAACCACAGGGGGAAGCTGTAGCTCCTGAAAGCTGTCTCTGAGTTCAGTGCGTTGGTGTGAAGACTCCACGCAACCGCGTAAAAATGTTTAAATCCATCTCTCTCTGAAGCTTCCACCGACTTTCATCATCAAACATACTAAGAAGAAGCACTTTCGATAAACTGGAGCAATCCTACGTACGCCTTTTGAACACAAATTCAGAGCCATCTGCATTCTCACACCCGCTGCTGAGAAATGGAAACAATTTAAGCGTCCACTATTTGATAAGCAGGCAAAACCCGTGGAACACAGACGCAACGGGATACTTACTATTCAGTCATGAAATGAATGGGGTTCTGTCCTTTGCAGCAACGTGGGTGGGTCTGGAGATCACTATGGGAAGGGAAAGCAGTGGGGCACGGAGAGGGGCAATTCCCTCAGCGGCCTCCCCTGCAGGGGGAGCATAGAAGGGTTGACGTCACAGATACTCAGTGCTGTATAGGGGTTACCAGAACTTGGAGACAGAAAAGAACTGGGGGCGTGGGGGAGGGGGAGGGAGAGGGGGAGGGAAGACGTTGGTTGGAAAACTAGTTCTGGTGCACAGTGCACAGGGTGATGTTGGACCTTGAAAACATTGCAAAGAACAGAAGGAAGGATTCGGGTGCTTTCTTTCTCTTTCTTCTTCGAGACAGGGTCTCACTATGGCTATGTCATGTCAACCAGGCTGGCCTTGATTTCGCAGAGATCTGCCTGCGTGTGCCACCACTCCTAGCTTCGAGGTATTTTGAAAACTAAGAAATGCTAATTGCTTGAGGGACAGACACATACGTCTAGGAGACAGATATGATAGACAGGGAGACTCGAACATCACAGAGTGCAGGTAGATGGTAACATCATAAGACAGCCAATGAATGTGTATATTATTCACAAGCAAGATCACATAGTATGCCTCTTATTTTACCTGGCATATACAATTTGTATTTCAACTTTAAAACATTAAGAAATGGTCTACAGGCAATTATGGGAAAATAAAAATAATTAAAAACTGATGGGCTGCAGCTTGCCTTGGAGCCATAATAAAAGGTACTAGACAGGCCATCCATTCTGAAAACTTGCTTTACCAGTTTGAATAAAAAAAAAAAAGCAAGAGATGTCAGCACAAACACAAAGAGGTTTCTGAGCATTCATTAGCTTCCTGTCCTTACACTGCTTTGAAATTTCATCTCTCTTTAGTTTCCTACCTATCCTTTTTTTTATCTTTTATTCCTCATGTACACCAGAAAATCCTGGTTTGAGAAATAGTTGATTATTTTTAAAATGAGAAATGATGAAATCAAGTGTAGGCTCCTGTAACCTACCACCCACCAACCACAAGTGTCTCAATGCTCAGCCTTGCCCGCTGACTGACTGCTAGACTCTTACCTGTATACAGTGAGGACGTCACTGCTCCAAGGCATGGTTAAAGGGAAGGATTTTATTGTGGATGTAAGGGAGAGGACAGCCAGAGGCGTCTTGGAGAGTCCAGAGCAGGGAGAGAGAAAGTTGACCATGGCCACCAGACTGGATCAGGCAATGACACGTGTGTGTGTGTGTGTGTGTGTGTGTGTGTGTGTGTGTGTGTGTGTTAGACAGAAAGACAGAATGTGGGTAAAGGAGACCAAGAGAGAGGGAGAGACAAGAAAGTGGGTACCAGGAAGGAAGACAGAGAGAGAGAGAGAGAGAGAGGGAGAGGGAGAGACAGAGACAGAGAGAGAGACAGAGAGACAGAGAGAGAGAGAGACAGAGAGAGAGCATATCTGAATTAGCAGGCTTATAAGGGAATGAGAAGCTGGGGGAGGGAAGCTGAGGTTTAGGGTAGGGGATGGGTGAGAAGAGCTGAGGGAGCCTGCAGGCCAGAGTGAGCCTTGGTATGTTAATAGACACCACAGGCAGTCATTTGTACCTTCTGACAGCGGTGGAGAAATGGAGAGGGGGAGGGGCCCTATATCGTGGTGGGGGGGGGGGTGGAGTTTTCTTTGAACTTGACATCACCCTTCCGGTGACACTATACTTTCCAGATCCACTCATTTTCCTGAAGTTTGCAATCTATCAGACTAAAATTTTATTGTGTGTACGTATTTGTATTTTCATGGCCTCTCAGATACTCTTTCCTAACAATGCCCTTCTCTCCCCCTCACCCCAATAAATGAAACATTAGTCTAATCAGTGCTGCCTGTGCCCATCCCTGTGAGCATGGCCAACTTACTGGGAGTGACACATCCTTAAAGAAAACTGACTCTTTCCCCCAGAAGCTAGCGACTGTCATTTGTGCCTCACTTAGTGGTGGGGGCTCCCATGTCCCTCCTCCCACCCATGATGGAAGGTTGGCTGGTTTGATCTGGTGCAGGCATTAGGCTTTTCTGGGGGTATCATCATAAAACCCTGTAGAGAGAAGCCTTTTCCTTGCTAGCTGCTTGGTTTTTCCCTGCCAGTCGCCTAGGCTCTGCTGCGTTGTAGTCCCCAAATAACACACAAGACGCTGTATTAATTATGAAGCTGTTGGCCTTGCTTGTTTCTTACTGGCTAGCTCTGACTTAAGTATTTACCCCATAATTGTTATTCTAAGTATTTCTCTTACCGGAGAAAAGGTCTGAACTTCTTACCCCTATGCGGCTACATGGTGACTCCCTGTGTTTCTCCTTCCCAGAATCCTCCTGGACTCCTAGTCCTGCCTATCTTGCTTCCCTATTGGCCAACAGTGCTTTATTGACATATACACAGGACTTCCCCATCAAAACCCGATCCTTCCACATGTGACAACAACCCAAAACATGAGAACAGTCATCATAGACACACATGACACAATTACATAAAATCTAGGTATACCTAGTTTGGTGGGGAAAAGTAGAAAGTTTTACATCTCTGTCCCTTTAATGTGTGAGAAAGACTTAGTAACACAAGATCCAAAGGAGAAGTTTGTGTGTAGACAAGATGCCTGACACTCACTAAGTAGCTGAGGGGGAGGGGTTTTCCACTGTGTCTCAGGCTGCTTTTCTGGAGGTAAGAAATTGACTTAGGGAATGCGTGTGGGGGATCAGGTTTTAATGATGATGTCCCCAGAAAAGCTGCTTTCATAGGACCCAGGAGTAGAGTGTGGGCGGGTCTAGGGAAGGCATATTTCTGCTGTCAGAGGTTCTTAGACATTTCGTGGGTGTCTGGTCAGAAAAACAGAAGCACAGGAACCTCAGGCAACACGTAAGCCATGTTTAACAGGGTGAATGAGGCAGACAGGGAAACTCACCAGCAGCATAGGTTCCCAGGACACAGACAAAGCTTCGTTGGGTTCTCTTACGCTCCCTCAAGTTTTAGACACCGCCCCTCAGGCCAAACAGATTTCTGACTTTAAAGATGAAAAGAAATTTTAGGACTAGTTTGTCTAGTAAAGATATTTTAATGCAAGCACGAGAGTTAAAAGAAAAATAAAGCCTATTCAAGGAAAAATGTAAAGCAGGTAGCTGACAAGGAAATAACAAAGCAAGATCAGAGGAAGAGTTGAGAGTAGGTGGGTAGCGCTCTAGAGGAGGCGGGACTAGCTACACATGGCCAAAACAGTTTCTTTCTTTCGTTTTTATTTTCATAGAGGCGTATAAACAGTTAACAATAGACAGCTGTCGTGAATAATCTAAAGTAAGCTCCCTCTTATCTGCTACACCTGGGAGGAGCACGGACCCATATTCCAAGAAGAAAGCGACATCACAAGACTCTTGCTTCCTTGGCACGTTCTCACAAGTACTTAGCATTCTCCTCACACAACTCCATCCTTGGGCCGTGTTCCAACAAGTAGGGTGTTATTTTTTTTTTAGGATTTGTCTTTAGTTTTGATATAAACTCTAAATAAAAAAACATTTCCTTGTTTTTAATATCTCATATGTAGTTCTTATGGAGCTCCTACTGCGAATTGCCACTTTAATCAATTATTTTGAGACAGATCATTTTCCGTTTCAATTAAGAAGGCTGCCCATTTGTGACCTTTAAATATTTAACTGCCTAGGGCTTGGTTAAACATGAATGATACAACAGTTTGGAGGAGGTAAATATTCCCTACTGAGGGAACCCTGGAGCCCGGTAATCTTTAGTTAGATCTCTTGCTCTTCTAAACACACGATAAAACACTCACACCTCAAGTTCTACATGTCACTAATCTTCAAACAATCTTCCTCTGTGGAACCCTTGTTCCTTATTCTCTCTCTCTCTCTCTCTCTCTCTCTCTCTCTCTCTCTCTCCCCTCTCTCTCTGTGTCTCTGTCTCTCTCTCTTTCTCTGTGTCTCTGTCTCTGTCTGTCTCTCTCTCCCCCTCTCTCTCCCCCCTCTCTCTGTGTCTCTGTCTCTCTCTCTTTCTCTCTGTGTCTCTGTCTCTCTCTCTTTCTCTCTGTGTTTCTGTCTCTCTCTCTTTCTCTGTGTCTCTGTCTCTGTCTCTGTCTCTCTCTGTCTCTCCTTTCCTTTTCTTTTCTTTCTGCTGAGAAAATTGTAATCTAGGGGAGGTATGTTTTGGATTATGATTCTGTGCTGCTTTTTGGAAATTCTCCATCCCCCATCCTCTTCCATTGTGTATCAGAGTCATCACACATGTTTACATAAACATGAGGGTGCTCATGACACTAGGTGACCAGTCCCCCTATGCACGTCTTCCCAGGAGAGCCAATAGAGCGCCTTCTCACCCAGGGACAGGATGTGTTTCCTGGGTTTCTTACACATTGTAGAGTGTGTGCAGCTAACCCCACCCCCCATCTCTACCTGTTTGGATGGGGGAGCAAGTGCTTCTTATCTTTGAAGTCTATCATTATTGTATTTGAGGGGTTGAAGGAATGAAACTGCCAACTTGACTGCTCCATGATAGAGTTAGGGGAAGGCTTTTGTTGAGAGACAGAGACAGAGAGACAGAGACAGAGAGACAGAGAGAGACAGAGAAAGAGAGACAGAGATAGAGACAGAGAAGAGAGAGACACACAGAGAGACAGAGACAGAGAGACAGAGACAGACAGAGATAGAGACAGACAGAGAAGAGAGAGACACAGAGAGAGACAGACAGAGAAAGAGACAGAGACAGAGACAGAGACACAGAGAGAGAACAGCAAAGCAGAGAATACTGAGATACCCATGGGGGAGAAAAACCTTGGATTATAAAGAGAGAAGGAGGGAAGCCCGGGGAGGTTAGTGTAGACTTTACAAATGTATAACAAGGACTTCTGAGTCGGGACTGAGGGAGCCTGGGGACCCGGCATGGGTTTGATGTGCAGACACAGGTATATGTCACTGAAGCCTATGTCCCTCCCACCAGAAGTTAGGGAAAAGACTCCTTTTGGTAGATGGGAACTGATTTCACAAGTTCCCGAGGAATGCTGGCTTTTATCCAACTGCCCAGAAATCCTCCTATAGACCAGATTCCCGCAGAATTGTTGAATCATATGGTGAACCTACACTTACGGAACCTCAGCCACACTCTCTCCCGAAGTCACTTTACCATGTTGCATTCCCCAGTGGCAGTGTCCACGGGCTCAGATTCTCCAACATGTTTGGTGCTGAAAATTCCATGTCCACTGGACTGTAACTAAATAGAAAAGATCCTTTTGCAATTCAGTTATATGCTGGCATCTCAATTAGATCAGGCATTTGGCTGTGTGCTGGCTTTAACAGCGGTCTCAATAGTTAAAAAGGGCTAATTTGTGTTCTTAAACTAAAGGTTCAGTTGCCTAAAGAGAACGTGGTAAATAATTAATACTGCGCTGCTGCAGACTTCCTTGAGCAGACTTTCACGGTTGTCCAGGAGTGAAAGCTGCTGTCCTAGGACGCAGGCTTCTGGTGGCTGTGGGTCTCTACGGGGTTCCACGAGAGCAAGCCCCATTGCAATGGTCTTCATTTAGATGACACAGAATGCAGCGGCACACGGGACACTCACGTCAATACGGGCTTTGTGTGTGTGTGTTTCTTTCCAGATCGTTCACAGGACCCTGGCAGCCATGTTGGGAGCTCTGGCGGCATTAGCAGCATTGGCTGTGGTTGGAGATGTGAGTTGCTATGTTTGGGTTACCGGCTTACGGCTAGATTCAATGCCAGACCCCCGGAAACTCTGGGGTGCGCTGGCCGTTCTTAACTCTTTCATACGGTCTTTCCACTCGTTTTGCCCGTGGTGCATAGACTCATGAACTGACAAACTTGGTTTAGGAAAGTCGTCACTGGACACAAACACACTCAGCTATGTAGTGTTCGGCTCCATTCGGGCCGGATCTAGGAGACCTCTGGGGCTGGGGTTCTGCCCTGTGGCGTTGCGGGCCCTGGAGATGCCTGTGGGTAAATAACAGGACCCATTAGACAGGGGGTGGGGTGTGGGGGTGGGGGTGTGGTGGGGGGTGAGGGGGTAGGGTGTGGGAGGGTGAGGAATGCATGAAGGGAGTGAAGGAGCCTGAGTCCTTCTTAGGAAACGGAGAGAACCGTTTTGGGGGACTGATGCGCCTCTGCACTCAGAGTCCTCCAAAGCTGGCCGTACACAGACCTGGATTGAAAGCAGCTTTATAATTTGATGGATTTTTTCCCCCTAGGGACTCCTGACAGGTCAGCCATCCCCCTCCCGAGAGACTCATTTAAATACCTACATGTATATGTTGTGTTTTCGTACCTTAAAAATGTCATTGTAGGACTAGTCTGAAGGCAGTTGTAAGATGTGAACTTTTCCTTGGCCGTTTTTTGCCATAGGTAGATGCTACACCGAAAGGTAAAATATTCCCATGTTCTAAAATTTGGAGACAAGAAAGTGTTTCTTTTCTTGCAGTACTTGGAATGGATATGCCAGGCAAGTACGCCTGAGCTATGTCCCAGCCCTCAAGTGCTGTTTCCAATGATAGCCGAGTTACGTAAGAAGAAAGATGAGGAGGTCCATGCCAGGGGCAGGGTTAGTCTGGAATAAACCCGACCAAGGCTTCCATCAGCAAGCAGTCTTTTCTCACAGGCTTAGGTTTTCATCCTGCTGGGGAGGGCTGAGGCCCAGGTCTGCCAGGCAGCGCTAAGGCTTCAACTAGGGCATGCACGACTGCTATTGGTTATATTGACTTCAGGGAGCTGACTTTGGGAAATTGAAGCTGCCAGCATGGGAAGGGGGGGGGGTGGTCAAGCTGGATGCAGTCCACGGGTTCGGGGTGCTGTCTGGGCTGGAGTGGGGACGTCTCCCAGTCTCCGAGTGATGCTCCTGCTCTCAAGCATGGTTCAGACAATCTTTCACTTGGAGGATCGCTCTTACGGCACATAGCAGGCACATGCATGGAGAAGTCCCATGGTCACTCAGTGAGCTGCCCTTTCCTAGCCGGCCAGGCTTTGGCAGCCCCTCAGTTTACACTTTGTGCTAGTGGGGCTTGGAGAGCAGAATAGACAGCTGCCAATCATACCACTCCCCTTAGGAAGACAAGCACGTGCAGACCTAACCTGCACTTCAGGCGACCATTCAGGAAGGAATCCTCCCAGAGCTTCCTGGAGCAGGGTTACATGTTTCCTTTTTTTTTTTCCATGACTACTTTTTTTTTTTTTTGGTTTTTCGAGACACAGTTTCCCTGTGGCTTTGGAGGCTGTCCTGGAACTCGCTCGGTAGACCAGGCTGGTCTCTAACTCACAGTGATCCGCCTGCCTCTGCCTCCCGAGTGCTGGGATTAAAGGCGTGCGCCACCAACGCCCGGCTCCATGACTACTTTTTGATGTGACAGATGAACTAGGTCATGAGTGTTACTCGGAGTGACATAATCCAGTTTCAAAGGGAAATGGATGGAGTGTTTCCAACTTTGGCCCCGTGTGTGGTGTGGGTTTGCACCAGGGGCAGCCCATCTTCTGAGCTTTCGTCGCTAGGCTGGCGCTCAGGATTAATTGGTGAATTTGTGCTTTGATTACAGAGACCCAGCCTGACCCACGTGGTGGAGTGGATTGATTTTGAGACTCTGGCCCTGCTGTTTGGCATGGTAATTATAGTCCTCCCAGCAGGACATGGCTCCAAGCCCTGGTCCTTCACTAGTCCATGGCTGCTGATCCTATCATTATAGTCAAGATGGCACATCTCTTGACAGGGCTCGATTGAGAAGTGTTAGCGCAGGTCTAGCTCGTTTCTCCCAGGGAGGAGGGAACGATGGCGCTCTGGCTCGTTAACTGGAGAATTCAGCTCTGAGGCTTGTTGAGCTACGAAGGGGCGTCATTATTTACAAAAGTTAGCCATGTTTTTTGAGTTATTAACCTTAAGATAAAAAAATTGACGTACTTCAAATAAATGAACCACTGAACAATGTCAGTGATTGGGAAAGTGATTTTAATTATATAAAGAAAAATGTCCCCAAGTAATAGTCCTAGCGCTTGTCAATTTATCATACCGTTAAGCCGCAAGGGACATTACGAGGTCAGCTTGTTGGAAGGAAAGATAAAGTCATAGAGGCTTAGCGTGGGACATGAATTGTAAGTCAGCTAAGCTGGAACAGGTGAGATTTGGCTAGGTCCAGCATCTGTGGGGTTTTAGCTGCTCTATGCCAGTAATCTCACTTTTAGAAGTCACCAGACCGCCCCATTTGCTTGCTGGCATCTACTCTAGGCTTCAAAGGGACCCAGAGCCGCCACTCTCTCCGAGTGGGGAGGTGGAGCAAGGCTCTGGACTCAGGTCTCACGGAGGAGCCAATGGCTGTGTTGCATGCTTGGTCATCTGGATAGAAGAAGGGAGTCACACCAGATGCCTATAAATATACTATTTTATGCGAAAGTTAAGCCCACGGAGCAGCATTTTCCTAGAACTGCAATAACAATGCATGACATATGTGGTAGCCTGATGAATAAACATTTCTTTCTCACAGCTAAAGAGGCTGGAGTCTGAGATCCGCAGAGCGGGCCTCCTCGGCTGTCTTCTCTCCACGTGATCCTGTCCTAATCCTATCCTTTTTCAAAGCCAGGTGTCATAGTCTATTAGGGACCACCCTAGTGATCTCACTGTAGCCCTTCAAAAAGTCCTGTCTTCAAGTGCAGCCACAGCTTGAGGGCCTGGGAGTTAGTAGTTGAACATACAAAATTTGAGGAGGAAGGACAGAATTCAGCCTATAAAATTGGCCCGATGTTTCTCTTTCTCAATGAAAATAGCTCCAGCAGACACTTAGACAGTCTATGCTTTTGGTACTATAGGGTTAGTGCTCAGGGTGGGTCTTGCTTTACTGAGCTGCTTGTCTCCATCTGTTTTCTGTCAGACAATGAGGGAATGATTCCCGATGACAGGGAAGGCCACACAGGGCGCCTGCCTGTCCCCTTCTGCTCACACAAAGTGCTGCATGCTATACACATCCCCACAGGGCTCTGCTGAGTTAGCAAGCTGCTCTTGACACGGGTAGTGCCGAGTCAAAACTGACTTGGAAGCATTTTTGCTTCATACAGTTTATTTGAAACAGGTGTATTGGGTTCATGGACTCCCAACTCCCAACTTTATCAAACTCTCACAACGACCCCACAAGGTAGAGAATGCCCAGAGGTGAATCGAGAAACTTGATGTTCAGAATGGCAAACCAAGTACACTTTAGTTGGGGGTTTTGAACCTGTACTTTCCCATTCCAAACTCAACACGTAGCAACGCCGAGGATGGGGAGCTGGCTCTGCGCCCTGCTCTTGAACTTCATGGAGAAACCAGTCTCTGTGTTGACCCTGGGAAGAAGACAGGGTTTAAATATCTGAATAAAAGAAGGAGCCATAGCAGATATCCACAAGTTAAAAAAAAACCTGAAAAAAATGGAATGTATTCCACTTCTTGTAAAATAGGAAGCCTAGCAAGTTCAGGTTTGCTGGAATTCTGGTTGACTAAACACAGAATAAACGGGCACTATTTCTAGGAATAGTCAGTGTGACGACTGTTTTTTATCGCTTGTCATCAGTAAGAAACACAGGTAAGCATTCTGAGTGCACATAGGACTAGAGATCACTCGTTTTAGTACCAATGGCCCAGCTTGCCCATGTCATCATATTTGTAAGGGGAAAAATAAATCAGTTTAGCTATGTGAGAAACTAAAATGTGATACAGTTTGAAGCTACTTACTTAAAGCTATTGAATGTCTGAGTGGTGTTTATGGGAACAGTTAGGTACAAAGGCCAACTGCTGGCCCATGACCTTCCCTGCTCTACATCAAAGCTGATCAAGTCATCTGTCTCTTTGGTCTATAAAATGGGTAAAGACGGCACTTGACGTTTGCGGTTGGGGTTAGATGGGTTGACTACACGTCTTAGGACAAAGCCAATGCCCAGGATAGAAATACACACGCAAAACCACCTTTAAGAGGTTCCACTCAGGGAGTTTGTACTTGGATCACTGAAGTGATGGGCGTGTGGATGACTTGCCTTGTAGACCAGGCTGAGCTCACAGAGATCTGCTGCCTCTGCCTCCCGAGTGCTGTGGTTAAAGGGGTGTGCTACCACTGCCCAGCTGCGGACATGTGGATATTGAAGTGACAGACATCTAACAAGACAAAGCTGCTCTCGGCGATGACGTAGCTGCTAGCAGCCAGAGCTCAAACTCATGACGGGGTCATTGTGACATTGTTTCAATGTGGCATTTTGCTAAGAAAATCTTGCTACCCGCTTTTTCTCTTTCCCTTATAGATGATCTTAGTGGCCATATTTTCAGAAACGGGATTTTTTGATTACTGTGCTGTAAAGGTAGGTGTAAAGTTTGCATTTGATGGTCATACTCTAAATAAATAAATAGTAAGCACGAAATACTTATATATATATATATATATAAATAATTAAAGCAATACAAGTACAAATATGATTAACAATTGATGACGTTAACTAGCTGAATACTACTATTTATTATTCCAATATTGGGCATTTAATAAATTAAAATATTTACAATTCCAACCTCCTTTCAAAATGGCCTCCGGAAGCCTGGGTGTGATTGCTGTGCTAACTACGACTTAGAACAACGCTCACTGCTTCTTTACAAGTAAAGGAAGAGTTCTCAAGGCAAAGAGTTCTCTCCCTGAACATTTGTACAGCAGTGCATGAATTGGCTGGTTAGGGCTACGCGTCAAAGCACACTCTACCTTGAAGCATTTGAGTATTTCAAGCCATCAGCATTTGGGGACATAATTTCGATGCTTACTTTTTAAGCATATGCAGTTCTGGGTTTTCAATTTGGGAAAATCATTAGTTGTTGTTGTTGTTTTAATCTTGTGTGGACTGTATTTATTTAATTATTCTGGGGGGTTGAACAAAGTGCCTTGAAGATGCTCAGCACATGTTCCATCACTGGGCTAACATGCTCACTCCTTAAAAGTCTTATTCTTGTAAACTTATAATTACGATTATTTGATTGACAAACAATAATCGTGTATGTTTGGGGAGTATAATGCGATGTTTCAATGTATATGCACACAATGTGCATGATTAAATTAAGTCAACTAACCTATCACTATATATCATTTTTTATGCTGATATATTTAAAATTTACTCTTTTGTTTGTTTTTGAGACAGGATCTCTCTACATAGCTCTGGCTGTCCTGGAACTTTCTACGTAGACCAGGCTGGCCTCAACTTACAGAGATCTGCCTGCCTCAGCCTCCAAGTGCAGGTGTGAGCCACTATATCTGGCTTGGAATTTACTTTTTAAATTATTTTGAAATACACACTGTGTAGTAGTAGTTCTCCAAATCCATAATTCCTTACAGTACCGTGTACTATTTGGACAGCATCTCTCTAGTCTCTCCCCTCCCGACCCTGCAGCCCTGCTTAGACTCCACCCAGAAATGAAATCCCGCGACATTTTGTATGTGTGTGCCCAGCCTATTGCGCTTAAAACAAGGCCCTCCAGCTATTACTATATCATGCTAACCACTGTTGGAAATGTGAGGATTGGATGGGTGAACAGTATTTTCCTGATGTTTACCACCGTGTTTGTCTTTGCATGCTGACAAACACTTGGGCTGACTTCATGCAGGCTTTGTCCCTTTACCGTGTACATTTGCTCCCACGGTTCTGTTTTTAGCTCTGTGGGGGCATCGGAACTGTTCTACACAGTGATTTTCCACCACTCTGGGAGGATTCTTTTACCCTTAATCTTTTCCCCATTGCTTGTTCTCTTCCACCCTTTCCTCTTTTCAGTTTTGAAGCAGGGCTTCTTCTGCAGGGTGGTGGTGGTGGTGGTAGCGCACCCCTTTAATCCCAGTACTTGGGAGGCAGAGACAGGCCGATCTCTGTGAATCTGAGGCCAGCCTGGTCTAAAGATCCAGTTCCAGGACAGGTTCCAAAGCTACAGAGAAACCCTGTCTCAGGGAAAAAAAACCAAACACCAAAACCAAACCAGAACCAAAACGACAACAAAGCAAACTCCCAAACAGGGCTTCATTTAACACAGTGAGGCCTCCAACTTGCTGTGTGGCTGAGTGTTGTGGGGATTCACTTAGCCTCGCCTACAGCTGAGGATGACCTCATCTTCCGGCTGCTGGCAATGACAGACCTGAGCCACCACACCTGCTTTATGTGGTGCTGGGGACTGAACCCTGGACCTCACGCATGCTAACCAAACAATCTACCTCTGACATACATCACCAGCCCTGTTACCTTTTAAAATAAACATTCTAACAGGCGTGAAATGGTAACTCATCGTGGTTGGACTTTCCCATTTTAACTGGAACCTTGGACACTCTGTCGGCAGCACTGAAGGTTTGAGCTGGCCCTTCCACACGTAGTGGATGAGGGGAGACGGCGCCATGCCCCGGCGGATGAGGAAACCTCGGCACACTCCGCTAATGCAAAGGCTGGGGCTGACCTTTCCTTTAGTTCTGGAAGTGAAAGCTTCTTTTTAAAAACAATTTCTTCAACAAAACTGCAAATTCTAGATTAGAATTTATTTTGGTTTCCACATCTTGGAGTCGTGAGTGAGAACATAGCTTCCACTGTGCCAGCGTACTGATTTTGGCTTGTTCCCTATGTATCCTAGGCATACCAACTTTCTCGAGGGAGAGTGTGGACCATGATCATCATGCTTTGTCTCATTGCTGCCATCCTCTCTGCCTTCTTAGACAATGTCACCACAATGCTTCTTTTCACCCCCGTCACCATAAGGTGTGTAGAACACTTCTCACATGGAAATTAAGATCAGGCGTGGGGCAGATTAGTGCTCCTGGCTCCAGGTTCTTCCTCCCGTATACAAAAAAACCCACAAAGGACAGCATCCATCCCTTCACTGGAGTGCATGCCATAGACTTCCAGTCCAGCCGGTTCCGGCTTGTGTGACTGCAGAACTCTAGATAGACATCAGCACAGCCCAGACATACTATGAGAAGTTGGAAGACATGCTTTCTAGAAGATGGACTGTCATGGGAGATGCAGGCAAGCTATTCAAGGAGATCACCAGACACGAGGAGATTTCGCTCGTGAACTCCCACATTTTCATGACGGGGGGGGGATGTCCCTCTGTACGTATGTTTTTCCCTCTGTACATATGTTTCTCTTACTGGTTGATGTACAAAACAATGAATGGACAGCAGCCAGGCGGGAAATATAGGCGGGGTTACACGACGAGGAGAATTCTGGGGAGAGGACACGGAGAGGGGTCACCGCCACATTTTTCCATCTTCCACCTACTCCTAGGGCCTAGTCTTCAGCCCATCAGGGTTTTGAGCTTCCTAAGATTCCAGGGCAAATATCATACAGTCATGGTAAAGTCCATGGCCAAGGAAGAGTTTAGGTAGTAATTCAAAGAATGTACAGAAAGAGAGAGAGAGAGAGAGAGAGAGAGAGAGAGAGAGAGAGAGAGAGAGAGAGAGAGAGAGAGAGAGAGAGAGAGAGAGAGCATGAATGTGCCTCCCTTTTTACAAGCAAGTGCTTTAAATGTCTGGGCGGCACACAGGCCTCATCCTTCCTTCCCTTATATTCATGATAGGTTATGTGAGGTGCTCAATCTTGACCCAAGACAAGTCCTGATTGCGGAAGTGATCTTCACAAACATCGGAGGGGCCGCCACTGCCATTGGGGACCCACCAAATGTTATCATTGTTTCCAACCAGGAGCTGAGGAAAATGGTAGGTAACAGCACAAACCCAACTGAGACACTCGATGGGGGTGAGTGTCTTCTGCTTAACGGCTATGAACCAAGGTTCCCGGCTGTCACTCATTCACAGCCCACGCAGCACCACGGATTCGGATCGGATCCGAAGCAAACGATCAGAGGTAGGAGAGGAGAAGGTAGGAAAAAGGCCTGCACTTAGGAGCTTTGCTGATAGAGATGCCCCGGGGGGTGGGGTGGGGGTGTGGTTTCCTTACTGAGAACATCAAGCAGAGATGTCTAGGAAATTATCAAAGGATGCAACCGTGGCAAGGAGTTCCGGGCACGCGTCTAATAGGCTCAGTGAAAACGTCAGCAGCATCCCCACGGCGCACCGAGTCTCCTGCTGCTCGTTCTGGAAATGACCAGTTTGGGTTTTTCCTCCTCTGCCTTTCTGTTGCTCGATAGGTTCACCCATAAATCTCTCCCAGCGACTTCCGCTCAGCGCTGTTTGCTTTGCTGGGCTCGCCTCTAGGGTCCCGCTAACTTTTCTCTCTCCTCATTTTCCCGCTCATCTCGCCTTTCTTCTGTCGTCCCGCCACTGCTAAGGGGGAGAAAACGTAGGTGCTTACGCTCGGACTGGACTCAGAGTTACTCAGGATGCAGAACTCCCGTCTCCTCAGCCTGTAGTTGCTAAAACTAGCAATTATATTCTACAGTCTGGTTGGGTTAAAGATAGGTGGATCAATATATTATATTTAAGTTATTTTTCTTAGGCTTATTAAAAATTTTAGCGTTTATTTATTTATTTTTATTTTATGTTTATGGGCGGTTTTATTTATTTATTATTATTTTTTTGGCCTGTGTGTATGTCTGTGCACCATGTCCACAGAGGTTACAGGAGGGTTTCTAATCCCCTGGACAGAGAGGTTAGTCTGTCACTGTTGCGAGAAGTTTAAATCTTTTTACTCTTTGGCCTTTTTGGGGGGACCTGCTACCTAGCTCCCAAGTAAGTCATACAGGGAGTCTTATTATTAGTTATGAATGCCCTGCCTTAGCTTGGTTTGTTTCTAACCAGCTTTTCTTTTCTTTTCTTTCTTTCTTGTTTTTTTTTTTTTTTTTTTTTTTCTTTTCGAGACAGGGTTTCCCTGTATAGCTTTGGAGGCTGTCCTGGAACTCACTTTGTAGGCCAGGCTGGCCTCGAACTCACAGAGCTCCACCTGCCCCTGCTTCCTTTCCTTAACTTAAATTAACCCATCTATTTTTATCCCCTCAGGGGTTTTTTTCTTTCTTACTTCTGTGTATCTGACTTTCCTTCTTACTCTGCGGCTGCCTGGGTGGCTGGCCCCCTGATGTCCCCCTCTCCTTGGTCTCTTGTTCGTCCCTCTATTCATCCTCTCTGCCTGCCAGCCCCGACTGTCCCTGCTTCTGCCTCGCTATTAACCATGCAGCTTTTTATTAGGACTGTCGGTGTTTCAGACCGGCGATGAATCGCAGCTTCACAGAGTTAAACAAATACAGCATACACAAAAGTTTCGCACTTGAAAATCGTATTCTACTGCATGTCACTTGTAACCGGACAGCTGTGAGTCACTGTGTGGGCCCTGGGGTAAAGCCTGGGTTTTTTTGCAAGAGCCGTCACGGCTCTTAACCCTTGACCTGTCTCTTCAGCAGCTCCTCCAGGCTCATATTGTTTTCTTCTAGTTTTAAAGGAAATTAAAACGTTTTTATGAACACCAAAGGTATAGTTATCTTTCAGTCAGACGTGTGGCGTATGACTTCTATAGATAAATGTAAGGTAGTGTCCCAGCTGAAGAGCTTCCACAATGTGGTGAGTTCTGAGTGAGGTTCGGTGACCCCATGACTTGGGAGGTTGGGGAAACTAGCCTGAGCTTTGTAGTGAGAGGTGTTGTGTAAAGAGAAACCTTTTCCTTGAGAGAAGCCTTCTTGCCAGCCTGGTTCTAGAGCTGCATCAGTCCCAAATAAGCACACAGGAGGCTATATTAATTATGAAGCTGTTGGCCTTGCTTGTCTCTTACTGGCTAGCTCTGCTTTAAGTAATTACCCCATAATTGTTAATCTAAGTATGATTCTTACCGGAGAATAGTTCCGGGCTTCCTACCCCATGGTGTTACATCTCGACTCTCTGTGTTTCTCCTTCCCAGAGTCCTCCTGGACTCCTAGTCCCACCTCTCTTGGTTCCCTATTGGCCAGCAGTGCTTTATTGACAAATGCACAGGACTTCCCCCCAACAGTGTTGGAAGGTGGACTTCCTGAATGGTTACTGACAGCCCATGGGGCTTTCTAACTTTACCTGTGTGAGCCTGTCTGGACTGCTGTGTGCTCTGTGACCAAACCCTTACTGCCAAGACCATTCAATCTCTGAGATCCCAATGCCCCACAGTACTGTGGTACCCTTGATGCTCCCTCCCCCACTTTTTGGCAGTAATTACTCATGGAAAGTACTTGAATTCTCACAGGTGATAATCTCCAAGGCCTCATCTTCCTACTGGTGCTCAAAGAGACGCTGGGCATATCTGCTCAAAGATACACAGAAAAGAATGAAATAAGGAGCAGAATTAACCAAGAACATCGTTGACTTACTCTCTTAAAAATTAACCTAAGGATGATTTTTTTTGTTTTGCCAAAATGAAGCATATTCAAGAGATGACCATGACACCTAGCCCCACAGACAGGCCAAGAAAGAAAGAAAGAGGGAAAGAAGGGAGAGGCTTCCTCCCTAGGGTCCTTGTAGCTGGTTCCATTCCTCTGTGCAGATGCTATAGTGTCCAGCATGTTGGGAAGACTGAACCTTACAGAGGATGCCCCTTCCAACCCACAACAGGTGCTGTAGTCAAATATTAAAAAAATTAACCATTAAATAAGTGAACATACATGGGGCACATTGTTCAACGTTTTGACCCCTATTTATCCTGGGGCAACATATTAGCCTTGTGATGAAGATAGACTAAATCCAGCTAGGAGTTAGTTGTGAATGCCCATTTTTGTTTCCTTCTAAGGTGGCTTGTAATTTATGTTAGCACTGGTTTTTCAGAAACACAAAACATATTTAAGAAAAGCTTTAATCAGACAGTTGGTGGTGGCGTCCAGCATTAATCCTAGCACGCAGAAGGCAGAGGCAGGCGGATCTTTGTGAGTTCGAGGCCAGCCTGGTCTACAAAGCAAGTTCCAGGACAGCCTCCAAAGCTATACAGAGAAACCCTGTCTCATAAAAGCAAAACAAAAAAACCAAACCAAACCAAGACAAAAGAAAACAAGAAGCAACCAAACAACAACAAAAATACATTAATCATTGCAGGGCTCTTGTCCAGAGGTCACCAGAGCCCCTGCTGTTCCTGTTTCCAGTTCACACTCTCCATCAGCACCGCTAAGGCCCACTTGTCACGTGGCTCCCTTTGCTCTTCCAGGGAATGGACTTCGCCGGTTTCACAGTGCACATGTTCCTTGGGATTTGCCTCATTCTCCTGGCTTCCTTTCCTCTCCTCAGACTCCTGTACTGGAACAAAAAGCTTTATAACAAGGAGCCTAGCGAGATTGTCGGTGGGTATGAGCACCTCTCCATGCTGCGGACTCTTTATTGCCCCAGGGGGGTGGTCTTGTAAGCAGGCAGGGGCATTCTCCCACACCGACTGTCCGCAACTACCTTCAAGCTGTCCAACAAGCTGCTCTGGGCTGCTTCAGTCTGTGTGCTGGGCAGCTGTAAAGGCTGACTTGCTTTGAATCTGTCATATTGGCCTTTTCCTTATGTAATTTTTTTTCAAATTGGAAAACAGAGGTTAAATGTAAGCCTCATAAAATACCTTACTCTCTTAGGAAGCCATGGATGACAAACCATCTCTCTCCCATTCACTATCGGAATGTGTCCGCATTCAGCCATGGGTGAAAGTGCTGCTGGCTCCTTTCTGGCCGGCATTTCACCAGCTGACTCATTGTCTCTCCTGTGTGACATCCAAACCTCATGGGGGTTAGGAGATGGAATGCAATTCTGCCTCCTATTTTCTTACCTCTAGCGTGCCAAGCGTGGCTGCCTGAGAGTCACACCTATCCTGCTCTTCAAGAGCTCTGTTTCTGAAACCATTCAAAGACTGAGCAATTGGCTGAGTTCGTTTGTGTTGCTATAACTACCACAGCCTGGCAAGCTGAAAAAGTTAAGAGGTTTATATATAATAGCTTACTGTCCAGGAGACAGGAAGTCCAAGAGTGTGGCTCCAACAACTGGTGAGGTCTCTTTGCTACATGGCGCAAAGTTTGGAGAGGACTTGCTTTTAGCCAGACAGCTGAGAAACCATGACAAACGGTATTAAAGCCACGACAGCAATGTTCAGATTTTGTCTGAAAGCAGGGCTGGTGAGAATGGGCTAGGGTTGTTGAGCTCTGGAGTTAAGACATCACTCAAACAAAAGCACAATAACAATAAATTAACAAGTGAATTAAAAAAATACGTTGCTCGAGAAAGGACGTTCTTTTCAGGCAGGGTTGAAATGGCTTTTCTTGCTTCCATGATGACTTTCAGAGGGTTCCGCTCTATCATCTGGCTCCGTCATCGCAGCCCATGCTGTGAAGATCCTGTGCCGGGTGGAGCGTGGGTGCACATTGCTGGGGTGTGGGGGGTGGTGGGAGGGGATTTGCAGATGTCGGAGGGTGGGATGGACTCGGTGCCTTCCCCTTATTTCTCTGCAGAACTGAAGCATGAGATTCATGTCTGGCGTTTGACTGCACAGCGTATCAGTCCAGCTAGCCGAGAGGAGACAGCTGTGCGTGGCCTTCTGCTGGAGAAAGTGCTGTCCCTGGAGCACCTGCTGGCCCAAAGGCTGCATTCCTTCCACAGGTACCATATCATCCTGTTCAGATTCATGCCAGGGGCCTCTCACAGGTTGTGCCTCATGATGGCATTGCATGAAGGACATATCCCATTACAATCAAACGTCACATGATACCCAAGTGAGCTAAAATCCCTTTCTGATCAAAGCATTAGTTTTGGCCGGGCGGTGGTGGCGCACACCTTTAATCCCAGCACTCCGGAGGCAGAGGCAGGCGGATCTCTGTGAGTTCGAGGCCGGGCTGGACCGACAGCCTCCAAAACAATACAGAGAAACCCTGTCTCGTAAAAACCAAAAAAAAAAAAAGCATTAGTTTTATGTTGCCATAATTAAACACCACAGCAATTTACGATTTATTAAAGCTTGCCCGAGGGTATAGAAAGCAAAGCCAGCCACCGTCTATAGAGATCATGCAGTGGTGATACCCACCTTTAATCTTAGCAGCCACACTAGTTATCTACAGAAACTGAGCAGCGGTGGCACACATCTTTAATCCCTGGACTCAGGGTTAAGAGGTAGACGGATCTCTCTTAGTTTAAGGCCACACTGAGTACACGAATTTGATCCAGTCCTAAAAGAAGCAACTCACACAAAGGTGATCTCAGTACCTGGGGGCCGCACACCTTTAATCCCAGCACCAGGGAGGAGGGGACAGAAAGGCAGGAGGAGACAGGAACTGAGAGCTCTTGCCTCCTAGGATGAGTGGAGACAGGGCTGCCATTTCAGCTGGGTAGAGGTAAGATCTAGCGGCTCAGCTGCTTTGCCTCTCTGATCTTCAGCTTGAAGCCTGAACCCCAATATCAGTTTCTGGGTTTTTAATTACCGTGTTTCAAGGAAGGGCTGACTCGACCTTACATTTTTGTCCTCGTTGACTTGCTGTTGCTGTAGTAAACACCATGACTCCAGGCAAGCTGGGGAGGAAAAGGGTTATTTCGTCTAATAGCTTACATCACTGAGAAGTCAGGGCAGGAGGTGAAGGTCAGCCCATGGGGGATGCTGATTAGCTTGCTTCCTGTTGCTGACTCAGCTTGTTTTCCTGTACTGCCCGTCCAGGGTGATACTCCTCAAAGTGAGGTAGCCATTCCCACGTCAGTCATTACCGTCCAGGGTGATACTCCTCAAAGTGAGGTAGCCATTCCCACGTCAGTCATTAGTCAAGGAAACGGCCCGCAGTCTTGCCCACAGCAGTCGGAAGGAGGCGTGCGTTCTGTTAAGGATCCTTCGTCCCAAATGGCTCCAGTTTGTGTCAGGCTGACAAAGACTAACCAGTGCAACTGATCCCCTTTGTCAGTCCGACACACAAACATCACTGTGAAGCCATAACCTTCCCCTGCTTATTGTCAGCATCTCGTAAAACATAGTATAACTTTAACATTCCACAATCTTTATATATATATATATATATGTATATATATATATACACATGTATATATTTAAAATTTGAGATTATATTATTGGTTTTGAGCCTAGCCTTTAAGGGCTGAGCCATCTCTCTAGCCCTTCAGAGTATAATATAAGTACATCTGGGGGCTGGATAGTTGGAGCAAATGGTTAAGAGCATTGGTTGCTCTTCCGGAGGATCTGGGTTCAATTCCCAGCATCCACATGACAGCTCACTACGGTCTGTGACTCTTGTTCCAGGGGATCCGACAGCCTCACACAGACAGACGTGTGGGCAAACCACCAATGCCATGAAATAAAGATAAACAAATTTCATAATATAAATATATAATTTTCTCTTTCCATTTCCTCCATTTAAGCCCTCCCATGTATACTTCCTTACTCTCTTTAAAAATTCTCGGCTCCTTTATTTCATTAATTTTTGTTGCATGCATATATGTATATGTATATACATGCGTGTTCCTAAATATCACCTGCTCCGTCTGTGTGATGTTAATTGTACGCACGTTTTCCAGAGATGACCGCTCGGTACTGGGTAATCAGTTGGCTTGTGCTCCTTTGGCGAAGACTGCTTTCCTATTCTCAGCATTCCTTAGCTGCCTGTTGTTCTTTATGTAGTGTTTGGTCCTTGTGGTCTTTCCCTTGTCCTCTGTGGCATGCCTATTGTGCCATTTTCGTTTCTGCCATGTTTAGGCAGTCATGTTGGTGAGACTATATGGGTATTTTTTTCTTACTAGAAGTCACAGTCTCACAACACACTCCCTGGATCCTCTCTGGCTCTTACAACATTTCCACCCGCTTCCTCTGCAACGTTCCCTGTCCCTTGGGTGCAAGAGTTGCTTTGTAGAGGTATCTACTGGGACTGGGTTCCACAACTCTCCGAATTTAGGTTGGTTGTTCTCTGTTATGGTCACTGTCTGTTGTGAAGAGAAATTTCCCTGATGAGGTATGAGTACTACACTTGTCTGTGGATATGAGGACAAAAGTTTTAAACATAGTTAGGGACTATGCCAATTTAGTAAAGTGGTGGTCTGTAGGTTCTCCTCCAACATTCATTGACTTTTCTAGCCCTTGGTAACGGGTTATATTTCCAGTACCAGGCACGATTTCCCTCTTGTAGAGCAGGCTTTACGTTCAATAGAGAGCTTTTGGTTATTGCCCAGGTATTCATGCCACCACTCCATCGTTAGGGTTATCATGCCACGCTGGTCACCGGCGTCGCTCATAGGCAGCATCACAGCTGGGTGAGAACTGCTGGCTTCCGGCTTCCTCCCTCATCTGGAAGCATTCATGGTGCCTTCTGCTATCACGAAAGCTAGTCGTCAAGGAGGAGGCATTCAGGTCGGTTGTAGCTCAGAGGCCTCTGAGCCCTGATTCTGAAGTGCATGGTGTCTTCAGCAATAGGGACTTACTTTCCCCTCTGGCAGGGGTCATCCAAGGGCAAAAGCAATGACCTATGATGCTAATTTGGGCATTTCCCAGACAACTATGACCAACAACTAACTCCAAAGAGGGTTTCTCATACTTGGTGTTGGGTTTTTGTTCGGTGGTCTTCGTGTCTTGGAGGAAGCATTGTCAGCCAAGATCAGGACGTCTCATTTAAGCCATGTATATTTGTATACAAACTTACATGTATTATAGGCTTTTGAAGAGGTGGCTAATAGTATGGCTGCTTATGACTTCTCCAGACGTGCTTGCTATAGTCTACCCTCATTCCCCTTCTTGTGTGCTTATCTTTTCCCATGACCTTGTTAGAGCTCCCCTTTCCTATTTCCACAGTTAAATCACTCGCACTCTGATGTTGTCCTCTCTATGACTCCCCCAACCCCCTACCCATTTTGCTTTCCTAGTTTCTACAGCCACTCCAGGATATGTACTCAACATCTGAAGATTAGGAGCCTCAAATGAGTGAGAGCAAGTGTTTGTCTTCCTGGACCGCCCTTTCTTCACTCAGTATGGTCTTTTCTAGTTCTGTCCATTCTCCTCCAAACTTCATCATTTTTCGCAGCTGAATAGAATTCCATAGTGTATGTACCATGCTTTTGTTAATGGTATGAAGGACATTTAGATTGTTTCTAATTCCTAGCTCTTGTGACTAGAGTAGCAATGAACATGGTCGAGCAAGTGTCTGTCTCATTCCTGATTTCAGTGGGGTTGCTTCAAGCTTTTCTTCATTTAGGATGAATTTGGCTATGGGTTTCTCATACATAGATATTATTATGTTGAAGTACGTACTCTCTAGCCCTATAATCTCTAGAACTTTTATCACAAAGGTATTTTGAAAATTTTTCCAAGGCTTTTTTCTACATGTATTGAGTTGACCATGTGATTTTTTTTTTTTTTATATTTAAGTTTCACTTGTCTGGTTTGTTACATTTATCGACTTATGTGTGTTGAACCATCCCTGCATTTCAGGGATAATGATAACGTGGTCATGATTTATAATGTTTTTGAAGTATATTTGTATTCCATTTGCAAGTATTTTCTTGAGCATTTTAAAGCGCATATTCATTAGGGATACTCACCTACTGTTTTCTTGTTTGGTTGTGTTGTTACTTGGTTTTTGGTTCTAGGGCGATACTGGCTTAGAAGAAAGCGTTTTGTTGTGCTCATTTATATTTTTAAAAACAGTTTAAGAAGGATTGGATGTAGATCTTTGAAAGTCTAGTAGAATTCTGTGGTGGAATCCATCAATCTCCTCATATGTTGTGAACCTGTTTAGGTTGTAGACTTCATCGTTTAATTTTTATGGCTAGTGTGAATCTATAAAGTCATTTCTTCTAGGTTTGCCAGCTTAATTAAATATAGGCTTTAAAATAGTCCCTTGTAATATTCTGAATTTCTTTGGTGTTTGTTACAATATTTCCTTCCTTATTTCTGACTTCATTATTTGGGTCCTCTCCTTCCTTCCCTCCTCTCACCCCCTTTTTTGACTAGATGGACCAGGGTTTTACCAGTCTTGTTTATTTTCTCAAAGAATTAACTCTTAGATCCATTGATTGTGCCTATTATTTTCTTTGTTAGTTATTGATTTCTGCTCTGCTTTTTTGTTAGTTCTTGTTGTTGACTAGGTTTGGATTTGGTTATTTGTCTTTGTTTTTTTTTTTCCAAATTTTTGAGTTGCATCACTAAATATCTAATTTTTACTCATTCTGATATTTTATTGTTGGCCCATAGAGATATTAATTACTCTTGTAGGACTGCTTTCCATGTGTCCCAGAGGTTTTATTGTGTAGTGTTTTCATTTTCATTTACTCCTAGGACATTTTCTTTCTTTCTTATTTGGCCCATTCAGTAAAGAGTCATCTAATCTCCATGAGTTTGTGTATTTACTAGAGATTTGTTTGTTGTCAATTTTAAGCTTTATTGCCTTGTGGCCAGATAGGATACAGTAGTTATTCAATCATTCTGAATTTGTTAAAATTTGCTTTGTGTTCTATAATGTAGTATATTTTATAGAAAGTTCCATGTCCTATTTATCAGAATGTTTATTTTTGGCAGTTAGGTAAAATATTCTGTGGGAATTTGTGAACCCACTTGATGTGTGGTGCTAATTAATTCTAATGTTTCTGTTTATTTTTTTTTTGTCTATTGGGGAAAGTTGGGT